TATAAATTTTTTTCTTAATACCCACTCTAAACCTCTCCTGGTGCAGCTTGAGGCCATTTCTACTGCTTGTTACTTGAGAGAAGAGACCAACCTCCACCTTGCTGTAGCCTCCTTTTCAGTAGTTGTGGAGAGCAATGAGGTCTCCCTTGAGACTCCTTTTCTCCAGGCTAAACAGCCCCAGATCCCTCAGACATTCCTCATGAAACTCTGCAACCAGCAAACCAATCTGTCTGAAAAAGAAGAATAAAATTAAAAAGTCTTACTTCCAGGATTAGTTCTCAAATGGCAGCAGCATGGTCTGAGATCATGGCAGCAGATCATCTCAAATGGCAGCAGATCTGGCTGCAGGTGAGATCCATGACTTCACCTCACGTCTGGAATCAGTGCAGCCATTTCCCTAGACAAGAGTCAACTTAGACCTGCAAGGCTGAGATGTTGCTTGTCTGACACAGGCCTGCTCCTCACCGGGTGGTGGAAGTAAACAAAGGGAAGTACATGGTAGTTTGCAGTAGCTGGGATCCTGATGAATTTCTACCAAAAAATTATTCAGCTCCATTTCAACCCTTGGCTAGTTCTTGTAACTTGCAACGGATGTGGCCAGAAGTGACACTGAAGAGTGCAAGCTGTTTTATCCTGGAAGCTCTCCATCTCCTGAGCTTCCTGATGAGAGGACCTAAGAGAGAAACACCACACTCCAACACACATGAAGGCAAGACCACCAAGGTGAGAGCAGTGTTGTTCACATTACCTTCAAAGAAAGCAGAGATACTGTTTCTTGAGCACAGGGACAACCTGGAACTATGCACTTGCCGATCTCTGAGCAAGCCCCTTGCCAACTGTAATTAATTTCTTTTTGTGTGCAGGTTGTGGGAAGCTGTGGCTACTTCCCTTTTGAATGCACAGGGAATGGGATCACAAAAAACATGTTCAGCTTTTTAAACTATTCTGACCCTGTCAGTGTCACTCCTATAAGACCCCAGTGTGCCTTATACATCTAACAGGCAAGAGACATATGACTACATCCAAGGGATTCACATTATACTTAACTGATTTAGAAGAGAAAGAACCAGCAATGTCATGCTGGAAAATGCACAAATTGAAAGAAAAATCAAAGTCAAGCATTTAACAAGGAGGTGGATCAGTAATTACACCAAAACAACAGGTAGCAAAGGGCATATTTGTCATCACTTGGAATTTCCATAATGGCTTTTATTCTTTCTTGAAAATAAGGTTATAATCTCAGTTACAAATATAAAGCCCACATTATGTCGAATGTCAGGTCTGAAACTGAACTTGCTTTTAAACCTAAATCCATGAGTACACTTTATGGCTCAAAAGTTGCCCATTGAAACAAATCTAAGGCTGTCACTAGTCTTGTTCAATGAACTCAGATAATTAATGTCTGATTGTTTTTTTTTTAGGATAACATCCACAATTCAAAATTCAACCTGAAAACAGGCATCTTAAACCAAGAAACTGGACGGACATCTGTATTTTAGCTGCTGTGACTTTGAACAGTAAGGTACTTGCATAAATGTGATTCATCAAGGTGTCTTAAGCAACTTCATTTTAATGACTCCAGCTGTTGAACAAAGGTATGTTGCCTCCTACCACAACCATACTATGTTTTCTTCAGCATTGTCTTTCTCAGAAAACCTATGAATTCAAGGAAAAGCCTTCTAATAAAAACTAAGGCTTTTGGGAAAATAATGACACAGCAATCCTGTGCTGGAARGGAATGAACCAGGAGGATGATCAGAGACCTCTGTCATTTCTAAGAAACTTCTGTACTGCTTTCATTTCTGAAACAGCCCTGCTTAGAAAGAAATTAAAGTGCATTAATTGCTTACAAGACTCTGACAGAGCAATGGCAGTTACCGTAAGATATGTGCTGCTTTTTTGTGTCGTTTTCTGAGCGGTGGGAGCTTTTGGAGGCAGCAGAGCCACCCTGCCAACTCGCTGCAGATCTCCCCCGGCCCTCCCACCCCACGGCACCCCAGCTCCTCCTGTGCTGACTTCCCAGGGAGCTCACCAAAATGGCAGGAACTTAGCCCAGAGAGGGAATAGCTTGGCTTGGCGAGCTGAACGGCAGGCAGGGAAGAGAGGGCAAGGTCTCCCTCCTCTGACTGCAGCAAGCAGGCGGCTGGGCCGGCCAGGACCTCACACTGGCTTGAGAACTCCCAGCTCACCAACTGGCCAGGTATCACTGCCAAATCCTCGTTGAACAACATCACGACAAGCCCACAGAATTATTCTGAGGTTGACTACTGTAAATAGCAAACTGATTTTTTTTATTYGAAAGTGGGAAGCTTGATACCCAAGTCCTTAAAAGATTAGAAGAAGGATGAGGAAGACTGAGAACACAAATTAAGGCTTTGTGCTTTTGATGGAGACCAACTCATAACTGGCAGGATAAACACAAAGAATGCAGTCTGGCTATAGCCAGCCCACACAATTTCACAGAAATGTTGTCCAGAGCTAAGAGTTTTGTGTAACTAAACTTGTTATGGCAGCGAAAAATGGGTCCAATTTATAGCATGTCAGAAAGCTGCTTGATAACCACAGAATAGTCYGAGTTCGAAGGGACCGTGAGGATCAACAAGTYCAGCTCTTAAGTGAATGGCCCACACTGGGGTCAAACACACAATCTTGATGCTATTAGCACCCCGCTCTAAAAAACTAATGATTCTTTGTTCAAATTTAAATTAGACATTTATYTCTATTTTGAGTTATAGCACAAACCCTTGTGTTTCAGGTAAATCAAGTAACACCTAGCTGATTCAACAGAGATTTGCTTGTATTGATTAATTGGATAAACAGAGATGCTGAGACAAAACTAGAAAGACTGTTAAATTACGTTGCTTCTTTTTGGAGGTCATTTTGGAAATCACAAGTAATGTGGGCTATTCTGGGTTTCAGACTAGACACAAAAAACAAACAGAGGCAAGGCACATGTTGAGTTGTGGTTTTAATTCTATTTTCAACATAGTTTATATGACTTAGGACTCCAGCAAGCAAACAAGCCAACCATTGAATCCAAAACTCAGCATAGATTTTGCATAGCTCAGCACAGAGAACTTACAATATGTGAATGGTATTTTTCGGTTAAGTAAAAATAAAATTAGAAAATTAGTAGCTGGCTGAGAAAAAAAAAAAAAAAGCTTTTCTCACGTTTTAAACAAATGGAGACCTTTGCGTATAGTTCAARGAAATTTAATAGCTAATAGGTGATATCATACTTTTTCACTCTTGCTCTAATCTACACTGTAAATCAAAACAATCTTATAAAAGGTTAAATTATTAAGAACAGTGGCCTGATAGAAGTGTCATGCAACCAGGAAACCAGGATGACCATAAAAAGAAAATGAGGCTGCTGGTAACCATTATAATGTAAGGCTGAATCACAAATGCTAACACCAAAGACCTTTTTCTGTTCCAGTTATAACCCTTGAGAGTTTTGTCTGTTGGGTTTTTTTCCCTCTTTGAAGGCAGAAGTAGGCCTATAACCATCCCCGTTTCGGTTTCTCTCTTTTCAGCTATGGTTTCTTACAGTCTGTCATTGTCCATGAGCTTAAACAGAGCACTGCATAAGCTATATGCATCACGTATCTGTCCCCAAGATGTAAAATCCTTCCCCACGAGGGAACATTTTGGTGCAATCTAATGCAAATACTGAGCCCAAGGGAAGCAGGACTGATGAGGTATTTCACAAAAATATTTCTGTAGAATTAAAAAAAAAAAAAAAATTACCACTACCAGTGGCAAAGATCAGTGACCACAGGAGCAAGTTCCTACATGGCTCGCTGTATCAGAGAATTAACTTCTAAATTAACCCAAAGCGGAGGAGCCGCCCTGGAGCCGGAGGCGGCCCCGGCAGGCGCAGCAGCCCTTCSCCGCTCAGGGCAGGAGAGCTCCCGGGTGAGAGAGAGCGCGCCTTTACCGCGGCCACTTTCCCCCTCCGGCRCCCCGGGGCTGGGGGAGGCCGGGCCACAGCGCTGTGTCCGCAGCCCCCGGCCCCGACACGGCTGCCCCGCTCCGCATGACACCCCCCGGCGCCAGGGGAGCACCCCCTGCAGCCCAAACCGCGGCGGGACCCCCTCGGCCCCAGGACTGGCGCGGTGTCGTCCCTCGGCGCCGCCGCCGCCGGGCGAGAGCGGGAGCGGGAGCGGTCCCCGGCCCCAGCGCCCTGCGGCATTCGGCGGGATCCCGCGGCACCCTGTCGCCCGTACCCCGCCGACCCGGCGGGAGCCGCTGACAGGTCGCCGCCAGTGGCCCCGGCACCTGCGCTGCGCTCACCGCCCTGAGAGGAGGGGCTGCCGGCCAGACCGCGGCGCGGCGGAGCGGGAGGGAGGGAGAGAAGGA